CTGCTGCTCAAGCACAAACTAACAAGAAGTCTTCGCAACGACCGTGAACAGTCGTGCGCAACAAAAGCGACGGAAGGAGATGGAAAAGGCTTCGGCGATTTGTAGCGCAAGACAACAATTTAGACTTATCAGAGAAGCAGGTGGCTAAAGGCAAATCATAAGTGGAACAATCTATGACGAAAATGGCACAATAATTAGCTCCCAAGATAGACGACTCGGATGGTGGAAGGAACACTTTAAGCAGGAATTTAGAGAACAATTGTGGTTTCAATAAATTCTTCAGGCTCTACAATTATAAATCCATTAACTTAAGCATACAATAGCCAGCCAGTAAAGGCAAGTTAGAATCATATCCGCTTATTTCACCTCTCGTTGGTATCAGCGGGACCACGGCTCTCAGTGACAGTATATGGCCCTTTCCACTTCGGAAGGAGTTTCCATGAACATGGTCTGCATCCAACTGTATACTTTCTTCCTCTACACACTTTACTTCATCGCCGACCTTAAGGCTTATGCATCCCATCTTTTCTCCCAGCTCAGATTTCGCGGCGTCTATCTTCTCTTTTCGCTTTACATTCCTGACGGCTTCTTTCCGTTCCGTTCGCAACCACCTCATCATATTCCACTCCTGGTGAACGAAACAGGTCGTACTGTGTATTGGCAGTCTTGCATTCCTACAAAACATCAACTCAAATGGTGACTTCTTTGTTGGTTCCTGGTTGGATAGAAGCACGACGTGCTAGTAAAATCAATGGAAGGAAGATCCGACTCCCAGTTACCACTCTTCGAGGTCAACCACTCCTTCAGTGTACGGTTATTTCTCTCTGTCAAACCATTCGTTTCTGAATGATGATATGGTCTTGTTCTGGTCATCTTGATAGTCAGTTGTTACAAACGGGATGTATATGCGCTTGGCTTTCAAAACAAGGACACTGATCTACCTGCCAGTCAGTATCGTCTTTGGTACACCGTGGTCTGCAACGACGTGTCCAACTACTGCATCAGTCACAGTTCTCGCGCGTTCATCTCGGATCACGATGGCGTTTACCCATCGTGTAGCGTGTTCCTCCATCACCAGGAGGTACTGATTGCCACAGGATGTCTGCGGAAACGGACCCACTACGTCTACACACGAGAAGTCGCCTACTGCCGTGAATGGAATCGACTACAGAGGCGGTCGTGTGCACCGATCTTCCTTCATCAACTGGCACTGCGGACATTCAAGTACATATTTCCCCACATCTTCTATCACATCTGGCCAGTACATGCTTTGTCTCAAGAGGTCAGTTGTTCTGGCTACTTCTATATCTGCTGGCTGGTGACATTCTTGTATCACCTCATGGCGTGGAGACTGAGGTATTATCGCCAACCAGCTTCCATCGTTCTCTCGCCAAGTTACAGTTCTGTGAATGTTCACTCTTAATCGATCCCTCTGTCTCAGTAGTATAGCCGGATCCTTACTCGCCGTAGAAGTTGATTCACTTCTATTCCGTTAGTGATCTCCTGTATTACTGTATCCAGGGTAGTGTCCGACTTGTGACTGATAGCATGTCTGAATGCATCTTGTTACAATGCATCCACTCCATAAGCAATCTCCGGTAACTCAGCTTCGTCATCTCGTCTAGATAAGAAATCGGCCAAACAAGTTCCGTTGCTGGGGACGTGTGAGATGATGAAGTCATAATTTCGCAGGCTCAACATCCACCTGGACAAGTCCCCACGTGGGCCTTCCGCCATCCTCAGAAAATCTAGCGACTTGTGATCACTTTCCATGTGCAACTGTTGGCCGAGTCAATACGGTCTCCATTTCACTATGGATAAAATTTTATTTTGATAAAGTCACACAGTGCTATACAGTAATATATACTGATGACGTTTCGAGCACAATTTATTCCTCATAATCATATCAGTGCCCGAGTTTCATCCTTATAACGGTCTGCATTTGTCTACCGCCCATACATACTATTGCTAAACATTCTTTCTCTATCGTTGAATACTTCTGCTCTGTGTGTTAAAATACCACTGACATATTCGACAACTGCTTCACCCTGTCCAAGTACTACGCCTTTCCCATAGTCACTCGCATCTGTGTACACTGTGAACTGTTTTCCCGATACAGGCAGTCTTAGCGTCATTTTCCTGTCGTTTAACTGACGTTTAATACTGTCAAATGTCTTCTGCGAATCTTCCGACCACACAAACTTCAACTCATCATCTAATAGTCTGTACACCGGGTCTGCTATCTTGTTGAAGTTTGCACAAATCGACTATAAAATGCAGCTGTCCCGAGATAAATGTTCTGTATATTTACAAGACACGAGAAGTCATTTTCTCTGTGGTACTGTCGGTGCAGCTTTCGCAGCTTAGCCTTTACTTTTATAGGAATGAAATTCTTTATGTTTTGTCTTGGGCTCTCTTTACATTTAGGAACAAGTTTATCAAAGCATATAGTTACATCCTGGTAAAAGGCTATTAGGATAGTGTCTAGGTTGCTACTAGAAAAGAAAAGGTCCCAGTCTAAGCTTCTAATGAAGGAGTTAAACACATTCAACCTGGCTTTTCCGAAGCACATGAATGTCTTGTGCAGAGTAGAGCATTTTGATGAGTGAAGCTTGGTATCGAGGGTGCAGATTATTGTGTTGTGGTCACTACCAGGAAATGGTTTGCTGATGTCTATGGTGGATAAGGCAATGTCTTTCAAGAAAACCAAGTCCAGTATATTGTGGTTTCGGGTGGGCCTTAGAATACTTTGTGTCCACCCACATAACTCAACCGCATCCAAGAATTTTCTGTAGCGGGGAGGAGCACTGATGGGCTCCCATGAAACTTCAGGCATGTTAAAATCCCCTCCAATCACTTTATAAGTAAAGTTTAATTTCGAAGTGTAATGAAAGGTTGCAGTTATTTCACTTAGCAGTTCACTGTCATGGTTGGGTGGGCGATAGATGCAACCTAATAACAGAGTTTGCTGTTTATTTATGTAGAGTGTCACCCATAATGTATCGCATATATTAAGGTTAGGGCCATCGAAGTGCACAGCTCTGCAGTCAGATTTAACATAGATAATGCATCCTCCACCCCGCCCAACTGATCTGTTCTTCCTGAAAAATGAGTAGCCTTCGCAGTGAAAGAAATCATCATTTATTTCACTTGTGCACCAAGCTTCAGTGATCAATAGTGCTGTAGGTTGGCTAATCAGTAGCAGGGATTGGATGTATGCCATCTTGTTTACAGCTGACCTGGCATTGATAAGAACTATGTGCGTCGGTGGCACAGTGGTTAGGACTCTCGCCGACCATGCACATGGTCCGGGGTTCGATCCCCTGCCGGCGCACACCTGATATCTATGGTCGGCCTGAATTTGGGCTACCGATATCCATGCTGAAAATTCCACACTTGTACTGAAAATACGGTGTGGAATCAAGCTGTGAATAAAAATAAAAATAAAAAAATAAAAATAAAATAAATGTTAGGATTAGCCGAGTCATATCTTAGTATTTTAGCTATGTCTTGAAGTAGCAGGTGGTGAGATTCAATCATAGTGTCCTCAGACGACAATGAAATGTCTATGCCTGTAGATGCCCTAGGAAAGCTAGAAGTGCAGAGGGGGTGAATTAAATTTTCGTTTTCATGTAAGTTTGGGCGTAAAGAAGATTTGCTGTCAGAAGAAAAGGAGATAGAGGGTTGTTGAAGAAGAAGAAGGGAATTACCAGAGTCATGTAAGGTGAGCTCCAGGCAGTAATTCGACATTGCTGTATCAGCTGTCATATCTGTATTGGGGGACGAAACCTGTGGAGAGTGGTGAGCATTTGTAGTATGTTTGAGGTCATGCTGTGAACCTGTATAAAAAATGGTAATGTCGTTTCAGCAAAACTGCTGATCGCTGGATAGTCAGCCCTGTCGGGTGTAGACATGTAAATAGGTGGAGGTGGCCTACCAAGCAAGCTCAACTTATTCGAATTGTTGCGATTTACGTCACCACTATTCGACGTCCTATAGTTAAGTGTATCAATCTTTTGGTTTGTATCGGTGCGAGGGTTTATTTTTTTGGTAGCTACGAGGTTCAGGTTCTGTTTTACGGTTTTTGTACCTATTGGTTTTGTGGATATTTGTTTCTGGATGGAGGTGTGGTATCCAGCTGTGAGCATGTGAATTAGTGTGTGGCACTAGTCTCTTATTCTGCGTTGTCTTTGTAGACGAACTGGTAGCCGCATTCTTCAACTTCCTGGAATTGAGACTACTTGAATTGGTGAATACTGGGTGTGATGTACTGCAGTTTGTCACTGGGGTACAGGGATCGTTATCAGAGGAATCTAGATCTACGGTCGATTTCTTTCTTAGTGTTCGGCTATACACTGAACTATTTTTGGACCTTACATTTTCATGCAAGTTCGTTTCCGAATACGGTGTGCTCTGTATAGAAAGATCCACACCCTTTTGTTCTGCCTCAACAGAAGTGTGGATGCCCAGGGGTGTTGTAAAGGAGCTGGGATTTACAGTTTTCGAATCAGTCATATAAGTCATTCTTTGGATCGGTGTCTTGTCACGAGCTAATTTAATCGTATGGTAACGAGTATTTTTCAGTAGTGTTTGCCTACTGTAAAAGATGTCAGCATTAGAGGACGAGTCAAATTTCAACACAAGTGGGCAAGATTTATTTTTATGAAACTTTCTTAGTCGATGGCAGCTGCATGAGACATTATTCATGGAGCACGCATTCAGAATAGTGCTTTTGACCTTGTTAATCTGTGCATTATCCGGTATATTATACACGATTATGTTCTTCTCGCACACTACACGTTGATATACTTCAGTTGCAACGTAGTTTATCAGGTTTGCGGTTTGTGGTAACTTAGTAGGTGAATTACTATTACTGTTGGTTTCACTAGTTACTGCCAGTTTTGATATCTTAACTTCAAGCCCCCTAATAATGGAAAATAATTCTTCGATTTTATCTTCACAACAAGGTGTAGAACAAGAAACTGGATTAGTGCTAGGAGTCAAAATGTTTGCCGTGTAATTCATATCGCAAGAAGTTTTGCAGGTGTCTACGAGGCCTAGATCATTGCATGTAGTATCACTTTGTATACCATCCATGATGTTGTTTACTACACAAGCAGGTAAGGGGAGTTCAACGTCCGGACTTAACGTATCTACTGCAGCAGACCTGTATTTAGTTGTTAAATCACTGGATGTAGTGCTCACACTTCCTGCAGGCCTATTCATTCTGTTCGGTTTGTGTTTTTTACTGGGATTTGAAGCAGACAGTGGAGTTAGACGCTTAGTTTGGACCATTGGCATTTAGAACAGAGTTAAACTTCTTAAATATAAGAGAATGAGCAAAGTGTCTATAAGGTTCGTTTAAGGGTGTTGGAGATTTAGATTGTTTAGTTCGGTACGCAATTAGCAGTTTATGCAGATAAAAATACTGAAATAGAGTATGAAGACACGCTTAACAAATACTATAAATGCAAAGATGCGATAGGAGTAGCTTTTAAGTAGACACTAATTATAATGGACAATTACAGTCGGAAAAGTTATATTTTATGAAAAAAAAGGACTAAATATTTAGTGCTATCCTTGAGAGACCTATTAAAAAGCCGCCTATAGAGTAAAAAAGAACTGATGAATAAAACGCAAAAAAGTAACAAAGTCTTCTCGTTTTTTACCTCAGATTCGCAGACAGTTAGATAGACTTCTGAGTATGAATCCACTTACAAGTGCTCCCCAACACTGAGAATTCGGTTCTTTGTCATAATTGGTCAGAAAAGTATAAGATTCTGAACATGTGTTACACATGAGGCGACTTCGCAGTCTTAATATCTCCTGATTAGAAAACTGCTGGCAGGGAGGAGATATAATCATGAGTTCCAAAAGTCTGAATAACTATGGAATTGATCTGTCCCTTCTTCTCCTTTATACAAGAAGAGGAAACCACAGAGGAAATAGCAGGAGTGTTAAAAAGCTAAAAACGAGCCATATCGCTGTGCAGCAGTGGTTCTTGCATGATTAAAAGTAGAGCCTATACCCCCAAAACAACTTGTTCAAGAAACGATCACAAAAACAGAGACATTTATTAGAAAAAGATAAACAGACATGAAGTCTTCAATCCGGTAGACGTTAAATATCACGTTCTAGAACAGCTTTTAAAATTTCACTTGGAAATTTTTTTGTCAATAATTTTTAATAAAATTGTGTTATATGTTATCTGAATTGATGTGAATTCCCATTTTCTGGCCAGTTTTTTTGGTGTCAGCGTCATGTGATCCGACTGCGACACCCCCTAGCATATTGGTTGCAACGATCAGTGTTTCAGGCGAACTGTAGCAAAATACCGCTATAGTGAGAAAGATAGGATAGTTGAAGGGTAATGTCATCTACACAAATAGTCTACTTTATTTAGATGCTGTACCTTTCGTCATGGTATCATTCAATGGAGACTTCACGTCTCAGGATATTAATTCAGCCTATTTTCGTGTGAAGAACAGTCCTTTTTGACAAAAGAATTCTATCAGTACTTCGAAATCACCTGTAAATGCTAACAGAACCTTCTGTGGGAATAGAAGTAATCATGTGGATTTGTCTCACCGTATGTGTGTTTGGACAGGAATTATCGTAGGTTGAGAGGTTATTTCTAAATGTATTTCATGTATATTTGCACTGTTTGGTGTATCGTTATATGAGTTATTTGGACTCAATGGATAAAAAATATCTCAACTTTATTAATATTGTGCCATTGCTAAGCTGACTGCTTGGCAGGCAAACGTAGGTGGTTGTCATGATTATTGTAAGTGCAGTGCAGTGAAGAAGGCAATCACTTGTTTAAATTTCCTTACTGTGTCACTTAGTGCATTAATTCAGTGTATAGTATTATTATACACATGGATTGTGTTGATTATGAGAACTGAATCTGGTCAGCTCTATTACTATCAATCTAGTGTCTGTTATGCCATTCTCACTGGCACTGTAAACTTAATGCTGCAATGTTTTTGATCACCAATAGTGGTGATGAATTTTTCCTGAATTTTCCATTAACATGAAGCAGTACAGATGACGCATCACGACTGAATGTCTAGGTTGCATTACATGACATTGTTATCCTCATCAACACAAGAGGTCTGCGTATCTTACAATATTTCAAGTGTTTCTCTATGCTGCTAACACTGTGCATAGCTATTTAGAGTTGAAGCATGTTCAGCTTATATTTGATGGCTACAGATTCCTTAATGTGAGAATGTAATTTTTGTAGTATTCATAAAACTATGCTCATTAGACATTACTGAGATTATGGATCAATTTCTAAGTTATACATTTGCAATACTTCATTTAATGTAAACGTATTTAGTGTGAAGTTGATCTGCAAGTAAGGTTGATGAGTGTATGACGCCTCAACAGTATGAAAGTTTCAAAGATTGTCTTGATATTTGCGTATAATCCTTTAATACTGGTAAACGTATGAGGTCTATTGATGCTTATGGTGTCAATATAAAAACCAGCTGTAAACTACAAATGCATTTATTTGCATGAGATATTACTTAGTATTAGCAGAATCAGTGTATTCATAGTGTGTGCTAATATGTAGAATTATCTTTCATAACTTCATGTTGTGCTAGTCCTCACATGTGCTTTATTTTTTTCAGGTATACGGAAGTTGTCGAATATGAAACCAGCGGAAATATCATTCGGTCAAACTAATGTTAATACTCTTCATCGGGATTTTCTTTTGTAAATTAATGAAATGTTTAATATACTCTTCAATTCTACTTCCTCTAAACTTTTTCACTGCATCGCTATACTATGTGCTTTAGTAATAAGTGAATTCGGATCAATGTGTAAGAGTTCGACTTGGTTTAACTTAGACCTAAATTGATCACTCTTACAAAAACTTCTTCACCACTTTATGACCTTAGTTGTACTCTGCCTAATGTGCAAATACTAACGAACTGAATCAAGGTAAAAGACTTGAGATGACTAGTGTGACTGGAACACAATTATATTTACACAAAAGCGATATGAGATTTGATAAAAATAAGAGGTTATGACTTATCTGCAGTCGAGACGGTGGTAAGCTCGGAGGGTGTGCCGGATGAAAGCACAACGAGAGAGTGAAACCAAAACCGTACAAGAGATTCACGAATCGAAAGAGGAAGTGGTGCTAAAGGTCAGGTGAGTTCGTTCAAACAAAAGTTTGAAGGTTCAATGTACACTACAAATGCATGTTAAGCTTACTTAGTGGGATGAAGATTTACTATAGTATTATGAGACTGTTACTTTAGCCATTCGTAAGATTTCGTGTCTGTTTCTATACAGTAGCACATTGTAAAATCTAAGTAGGATTTAGCAAGTTGAATAATAATTCTGTGCTGTTCGATACACTAAAATCGCCTTATCTAGCCAGTTGCAAGTCTGTATAGTGTTAAACGCCAAGTATGTATTACATGTAAATGTAATAACTTAGGCTTGATAGCTACTCCACTAATCTGTTAATATGCAGTGACATCATCAAATAGACTGTTCACTTGACAGTTAGCAAAGAAACAATTTTCATCTATTTCTAATATGCCTTTGAATCATGTGATGTTATCTAAGATCAATCATTTCTATGATCAACAACTGCGGTGTTTGCATATCTACTTTATGAATATTAAATAACTCACGCCTTTATGCATCTAATTACCCCAGTATTTCCTATTCATTTGATGTGTGTACGGTAAACAAGGCATTCATACGTTCTCCTACAAATGCCAAGGTTTCTGGTGTCACAAGTGTTTATAAGAGTTGCTTCTTTGGTTTCAATACAAATGATGTTTTTAAACAAAGCAACAACTACAGATTTTGCAGAATAAAATGGTACCATATTTTATTTCGTCGCCTTCTCTTCAGCTGCTTACAGGGCAAAAACATTATTAAATGTATCTACAATAACAATTTATCATATTTACACAGAGTTCATTTTAAACAGAAATCAATCGATCGATATACACATACACTAATAATATATACATATGTATATATATGCAATCTTGAACACAATTCCGAGCATTAATAATCATACAAAATGAAAACTTTTTAGTATCTCGCATTAGGATGAAAAATATCCAGTTACCAGGGCAAAGAAAGACTGATAACTGCTTCTTTCTGAACGCACAATTCCCCAGCGAATCTTTCAAATCACTGGATCATTTGGTGACAATTCGTTGCAGAATATCGAGAGAAGTGACTCGATTGAAGTTTTATCATGAATGCTTGCGGTCTCACTGTTTTCCTCGCCATCTCATGAAGTCACTACGTACGTGCAAATTGCCTCCATCTCTCAAAAATCTTCGACGCATTACAAAATCGCATATTGACTCAACAGAATCTCTGATTTCTAAATTGAGAACTGAAGCACGATCTTTCGATGGTGTCGTCAATAGTTTGAATATAGTATGCCGGATCAAATTCATCAATTTTATTCAAGGACTTCAACAGAAAACATGTGAAGATTTCTACAAAACTCTGTCGAAATCCCTGACAAAGGAGAAACTGTGTGACGTTTTCCCAGAAAATCCTGAGGATTATATCTGTAATCTGTCGAGTCTGAAGTTAAATCGCATTGAAATGGAAGCACTTTCTCTTGGATTCAACTTCCACATCCCAAATAAATTTGTTGGAAGAACTGATGTGGCAGTTCAATTTGAAAACTTATTCTATCAGCTGAATGACCTCACTCCAGTTGATGATGACAAGAAGAGCTGGTTCAAATCTAACTTGGTCGACGTTGCAAATCAATACCTCATTTCACCAACATCATATTCCAAATTCCTCTCTGAAGAGCATCAAAAGGCATTGAAATCTCTCAGAAATAATGACAAAATTGTCATACTGCGACCTGACAAAGGCTCAGGAGTGGTACTGATGGATAAAGATGACTACATCGAAAAAATGAAAACTGTGCTGAATGACCCATTGAGGTTTAAAGTCGACGACTGCCAGAAAGACAAGACAGATGCAACTGAAAAACGCATCACAAATGTACTGAGAGATCTTCTTAAGAAGAATTTGATTGACAACAACACGTACAATGAATTGAAACCCAGAGGGTCCCGCTTGCCATATATGTATGGCCTTCCAAAGATACACAAGAAAGAAGTCCCTCTTAGACCAATACTTTCGATGATCAACTCTCCTCAACATAAGGTTGCCCGTTGGCTTGCGGAGAAGTTGGAACCCATTCGCCGACGTCTAGCTGTGCATACCGTAAAAGACTCATTTCATTTCGCCGAAAGCGTGAATCATATGAACGTTTCAAATAAGTTCAT